TTCTTGCTTCTGCCACAAATTCCCCCAACTGTAAGACTTCCAACCTTCTAAGTATTCCTTTAAATGTGGTTCAGAGTTCTGGGACCATCCCCTAAGCCTGCTTGGTCGGGTATTCTGTGTTGTTGCTGGCGGAGCTCTTTATTGCACTTCCACCGGATCCACCATCTTGTTTGTTCTCCCTCCATTATATTTTGATTCCGTATTTCCCACAAACTTCTTGAAGCCCTCATATATGCATCTATATCTATTTCTGTGTCTATGTACCTGTATGTGTCTGTAGTATACTGCAAACTATGAGTTCTATTAATCCTTTAAATTCTAATCCAAACTTAGGCTTTATACTACCCCTTTCCTTATTTGTAATTCATGTTTTGGAAAAAGAGTCTGAATCTCAACATCCACAATACATATTCTAGGACTGGGCAAATAAATATATTGTAGGTGGGGTCCTGGTGTGGCACTGTGTGTTAATGTGCTGTACTGCAACGTTGGTTTGAACTATAAGGTCAGTGGTTCAAACACACCAGCCACTCCTCGAAAATCCTATACAGGGTCGCTATGGGTTGGAACCAACTCAATAGCACTTAACAACAACAATAGAATACTCATGGAAACCCTGGATGACACAAATGGTTAAGCCCTGAACTGTCAGCCAAAACATTGACAGAACTCACTCAGAGACACCTGAGTTAGGGGATTTGCTTCTGAAATGTTACATCCTTGAAGAAGTTCTACTCTGCACACAGGATTACCATGAGTCAGACCCAACTCAAAGGTAACTAATAGAAATAATAAGAATGCACATACAGTAGTTTCAGAAATGCTAAGAAATGCTAAATACAGCCGTGAGAAAACAAGCTTACTAGTTAAAATACAAAGATAGTGCCGCATTTCCATAGCCTCTTCACCCAGCTTCCCCTAGTGTTAGCTTCTGACATAGCCACAGTACCTTTATCAGATATAAGAAATTAATGTTGTTGCAATACTATTAGGAGTCGTGGTGTAGCACTGTAGGATCAGCACTGGACTGCAAACCACAAGGTTGACAGTTCAAACCCACCAGGTGCTCCTTGGAAACACTATACAGGGTTTCTATGAGTTGGGATAGACTCAATGACACTTAACAACAATACTATTAACTAAATTGCAGCGTTTATTTGGATTTTACCAGTTTACCAGAATAAACTTATTCTGTTTTAGAATTAGTTCTAGGATTAGTTGTCTTATCTCCTTAGTCTCCTCCAATCTGTGACGGTTTTCAGATTTTTCTTTCTAATTTTTTTTAAGGCCTTGTTGCTTTTGAGGAATACTGGTCAAATATTTCCTTAATTTGGACTTTTCTGATGGTTCTCATGATTAGATCGGGGTTATGTAGTTTTCTATTACATCCTATCAGTAGGTACATGCTATCAACATGACTTCTCACCAATGATGTTAAGCCTCGATCTTAGTCAAAGTGGTGTCTGTTAAGTTTCTATTTTTTTCCTTTCCATACTGACTGGATGGCACTTAACAACAATAACGTACTCTATTAGCTTCTTATATCTACTCTTCTTAATTCTCATTTAAATTTAATTTGATAGATATTAGTGTATATTATGTACATGATGTATTAATAGTACATACATATATAAGTAGAAATAAATTATTTAATTTAAGATTTTTCTAAAACCTTTATTTCGTCTTGTTTCATTGATCAGAATCATATGCTAACTCTGGTATTCTCTTTGGTAGTGGACAGTCCTATTTTCCTAATAACTCTAGTGCCAGCTATGGCATTAAATCCTGAAATTTTTTTTTATCAAAGAACCAATAACTTATCAATGGTTTAGGGAAGTTGTTGAACTTGGCATCTTCATTTATGGGGAAATGATCTCTGAATTTTAATTAGAAAGTTGATTGGAATAAGTGTTTAAAGAAGTGTTACATTTACTTGACTTAGAGGTTCATGCTTATATTCAAAATCATGTACAAATTTTTCCAGGTCTTTGCTGATCACCAAACAAATTTTGGCAAAATCTTGAGTATATAGCAAGGGAAGCAAAGATGACCCATAGGGTGGAGATGCCAGTATCCTCAGTGACTGAATCCAAGACTCTGTGCAGGGTTAGGACTGCCTTAGCTTTGCCTCAAAGAAAGTGGCCCCTTGCCATTGTCATAATCCTCAACATCAACCATTTGCTTCCCTTACAATGCCCAAATTGCTGTCATTAATTATAAGATGTCAGTTATGCGTTAGTGACTTTATTATTATTATTTGTTGTTGTTAGGTGCCATTGAGTCGATACCGACTCATAGTGACCTTATGCACAACAGGATGAAACACTGCCTGATCCTGAGCCAACCTCACAATTGTTGCCATGCTTGAGCCCATTGATGCTGCCACTTTGCCAATCCATCTTGCTGGGGGTCTTCCTCTTTTCCTCTGACCCTCCACTTTACATATCCTTCTCCAGCAACTGGTCCCTCTTGACAATGTGTCCTAATATGTCCTAAGTGTGAGAGACAAAGTTTGGCCATCCTGGCCTCCAAGGAGCACTCTGGCTGCACTTCTTCCAACAGAGATCTATTGATTCTTTTGGCAGCCCATGGCACTTTCAATATTCTCCTCCAACACCGTAACTCAAAAGCATCAATTCTTCTACGGTCTTCCTTATTCACTGTCCAGCTTTCGCATGCATATGAGGTTATTGAAAATACCATGGCTTGGGTCAGGTGCACCTTAGTCCTCAAGCTGACATCTTTGCTCTTCAACACTTTAAAAAGTGGCACTGTGGGCAAACACATCAGGCTGCAGAGTCTTTTGAACTTTAAGGTTGGTGGTTCAAGTTCACCAGCTGCTCCTTGGAAACCCTACCCAGGGTCTCAATGGGTTGGAATCAACTCGATGGTACTTAACAACAACTTTATTATAAAAGTTAATAATTGATTAAAATCCTAGTATCAAAAAATCCACATTTGTTTCCATTTTCCTAAGTGGGGTGGGGATGGGGAATCAGATAAATGTATCGTTTTATTTTTTTAATTTTTTGTTTTAATAGAATACATTTTCACATTAGAGATGCCCAAAGTAAGAAAATAGCAGTTTGTTACGTTTTAGTTTTATATTTGTAGGCAGATTATTTAAGGACATTTGAAGGATATGTCTCAGTTTGCAATCTATATTTTAATATATCTACAAGGAATGGAGCTTCTCTATATTCAAACATTCTCCAAGCTTTACCTCCTAAAATTCAGAAATTAATGAGACATTTCCTCATTTTAGTTTCATAGGACATGTAACCATCAACAGAAGAACATAAAAAAACAGATGAGGATGTTTCCAAAATCTTAAGACAGTTATAATATTCTGCAAAATCTTTACTTTTGAGTTAACAGACATTCCCATTGTCCATCATTCCTAGAACAAATATCGAAGAAGTATGATCGTAATATGCTGATAGTAACAAATTTAATTTCCATTAAGAGATTGATAAATTAAAAAGTACATGCTCTTACAATGTTTTGTCACACTGTGAGTCTTCTAAAAAGCTAGGAGACAATCCCATGATCTCACCAGAATATGGAAGGCAGTCTCACTATTCTGTGAATATTAATTCTTCTCAAACCTTTTCCTCCAAGATTAAATTGTGAAAATAATCAAGTGATTAGACGAGGGCTGTCTCACCAATGGACATCCGTTATTTCCTCCTTACTGATAGTTGAAAGGAGTGACAGAGCAGAGGCAGAGAGGTGGACAATCATTTCTTAAGGGACTAAGTCAAAAGTCAGAGCTTCCACAGCATGGCGCCAGCTTTGCAGATGCCTACGTCATGATAGTTGAAATAGCACAGACCAGCAAAGGTTAAAGCCGAGAGTGCCAGGAGGCCAGCCTTAGCAGCTTTCTGTGGTGCATCCTCAAGGACATAGTCAGTAACAACCTGTCTCAGGCCCCGGTGACCATGGAGAGTGAGAACTGCAGCTAGAAAGTAGTCCATCGCAGAGCAAGGATTCAAATAGGCAGCTGGGAGTAGGCCCAGAAGCAAAACACCGACAACTCTCTCACCAGTCCAATGGATAGATGCAGCCTTGGAACCAGAACAGTGGCTGGGGGACAGGTGAATGTGCTGCACTCCTGGAGTAGACCGGTCCTGGAGAAATGGTGAGGCAAGAGCAGGTCTGATCACGGGAGTTTGGAGGAACAGAGCTTGGGATCCTTGAGCACCGCAGACAACACTCTTCCTCCAGACCACCACCATGTCTAAATGTATTTCTTCTAGTTTAACTTTTGTCTTATTTTTTCCAGAAGCCTTATCTGGGGCTGTCTCACAGAGAAGTCTCCTCAGCAGTTCTGCCTTTGATGCTATTGCCTTGTTTATACAAAGGCATTGTAAACATACTGTATTCTTTTATAGTGTCCTCTTCCTTAAGACAAGCACCTCTTGGCATTCAGGGTGAGGGGAGTATATTAGATCATGTGGGAGCTGAACTGTGTTCATGGACCTGAGCAAAACCAGCTGATTCATTTGGGGACTAAACCCAGGACTGATCTCCAGTAGATCCATATGTACCCTGGAACATTTTCCCATGAGCAAAAAAACCCTGGGGATATGTTAATTCATGCCTTCTCAATCTTTATATGCTGGAAGTGGGAGTTCACTTTGGATATTGTCTAGGATGGTTTGATCATTAGCTCTTCCACTTATGAAGAGGGAGTAAAAAGTTCACTAGAATCCATTTTGATCGTTGCTTCACGACAATTTGAAGCCAGTTATGTCTTCTCAGTTAATTCACCATTTCCAGTGTTTTTAGTGTGTGTGTTTAGTTTGTTTGTTTGTTTTAAAAAAATACTGTGATTTTTGTTTTAGGCAGGGACATGATTTCTGTTTACTCTTGATCCTCCATGTCTAGCTGAGTGTCAGAGTAAAGGCACCCTTGGAAGAAATGAGGAGGTTGGAAAGGGAGGGAAAAACAGAATTTTGGGGTTAGGTTTTGGAGTGAAAAAAATTCTTTCAGCATTGAAAAATGCAAAAATGACCTTTTCTGTCCATAGCCATACAGACACATAGCTTTGGTTGGGTGTTCACACACTTTTGCCTGGTGGTTTCTGTGATGTAAATCTACTTTCTGCTCAATCAAGTCCTTTGGGGCCTGACTAGCACAACAGCTTTGTTTTCTTGGGTGGGGTAGTTTCTTGTAAGACATCAACTTTGATTTTAGTGATTAAAGCATATTTTGGCAACTTTTACAGTCAAGCATTTCCAACATGTTTTAAAATGGCTACAATATACAAGATCCAGTGTTCTACTTCTAGTGATACGTGCGGTCTTTGTCCCAAAGACTAAAGACAGTATTTTCCCTGGGCTGAGATAACTGGCATTGGACTTGAAATATTTCCCTTTTAGCACCATGTTCTGGGCAAAGGGAGACCCAACTGCATGCTGGGATTTCAGCAGGCATGTGGATCACCTTCTGCCAGGTGAGTCACTGGTTGTCTGTGTGGGGCTGGCACTGGGACAAGTGTTTAATAAGACAGCGGCAGGGTGGGGTACCAAATTAGAACAACCTCTTATCTGAACTTGGAGATCTTCAAGTTTGGGGACTCGGTTTAGGAGCGTGCCCACAACTTTATGGTGTGATAGGAATGAGAATTGAAGGGGCGAGGATCCACCCAGAACACACTGTTCCATGCCCCTCACGCACAGAGAGCTGGACAGGTGCCAGCTTGTCGAGGTTCCCAGCCAATTCCAGTAGAATCTCTGAAAAACATATTCTCGTGATTCCAGCACCACTCATTATTGCTAAACCTTCCAGACAACCACAATATAGATAACCTTTTCTGAAAAGACCTCCCTTCAAGACCTACCTAAAACAAGGAAGTTCATGATGCAGGCACAAGCCCTGTGAGGAGAGGAAATAGGAATGGTCAGGGAGTGCATTTTTATGTAGTGTAGTTCCGCAGTTGGGCACAAGCCAAATAGTACCTTCCATTTCTGAATAGCCACACTTCTCTTCTGCTATGAAGATTTTAATTTGTGACCCTACCAGGTATATGTGTGGCACTACAGGATAAACACTGGACTGGTAGCCATAGGTTCAGTGGTTCAAACCCATTGGCCATTCTCGGAAACCCTGTACAGGTTGATATGAGTTGGAAACAACTTGATGGCATACAGCAACAATGCATGATTGTGGATCAAATAGGTCACTTCCATTTCTGCTAGTTCTCCAAGGAGACTTAACATGCTATACAACCAAACACATCTTTTCTGTTTTCAAAGCTGGCTCCCCTTCCCTTCTTTCTCATTTTTTTCCCGGGATACCCTCCATTGTTTCGACTCTCAGGCTTATTATTCATTAGTTCATTCAATACATCTTTTTCTTTTTCTTTTCTTTTTTTTTTTAAGAGTTCAGCTTTTGATTGAACATGTTCCAAAAGGGATTTAGTCAAAAAGACCAAATCCCATGTTATCGTTGGACTCTTCAGATTGTTCTTTCTTTGCTTCCACTTTCTTCTCCTCAGCTGGGACAGCAGCGATGGAGGGAGCAGGTCCACCAGCCCCGACATTGCAGATGAGGCTCCCGATATTGACGTTGGCCAGGACCTTTGCGAACAAGCTGGGCAAGAAAGGCTCCACATTAACACCAGCCGCCTTGATGAGGACATTGATCTTGTCCTCCGTGACAGTCACCTCATCGTTGTGTAGAATGAGGGCGGAGTAGATGCAGGCAAGCTCGGAGATGGAAGCCATGGTGTGGGAGTGCTGGGCTGGTGGCTACCGGCCGTGCTAGTCGCCGGATGAAGTAAGGCCCAACGCCGCCTTAACTTCCTCGGAAGGAGCCAGCACCTTAGCGGCAGCTGAGTAAGAGCTCAACAAATCGTTCTTGAGTGTCTCTATGTGGTAAATACTGTACTAGGTATTATATCTCAGATAAAACTCCTCAAGGAACAACACAAACAGGACTCTCTGCGTTTCTTGTTTTCAATCTCCCTCACACATACTCAAACATACATATACACCAAAACCTTACCTTGGAGTTCATTCCTTTTCACGATGACCCTAACTAGTATGGGGTAGAACTGTTACATAGGTTTTCTTGGCTGGAATCCTAGTCTGTCTTATAGTGTTGCTATGAGTTGCAACCAATTTACCAGCACACGACATTCTTTACGGAAGCAGATTGCCAAGATTTTCCAAGGAACCACCAACCTTACTGTTAGTTGCTGTTGTTAAGTGTTGTTGAGTCGCTTCCTACTCTTTGGTGAAGTTCTCATACGAGGGTAAGTCAAAAAGTATTGCTACGAGGGTTCCAGTTCATACATGCGTGGGGGTTTATTCCAAACAGAACACGTTTAAATATATTTCCGTGATTAGTGGATGACTATAGATAAGTCTCTCTCTTTCTTTTTTTGTAAGTTTGTATTGTGAATTGTGTTGTGAAGTGCTGTCGAGTCAGTTCCAACCCATAGCGACCCTGTATAGGGTTTTCAAGGAGCAGCTGGTGAACTTGAACTGCCAACCTTGTAGTTCAAACGGCTTTGCTGTCTGGCGCATTAACCCCCAGCGCCAAACCAGTACTCCATATTGTGAATTGAGTGTTAGTTTACTTGGGAGAACATCGGTTTTACACCATCGTTTCATTGCAATGGTTACAATCTTTTCCATGCATCATCTTTCAACAGTATTTGCTTCCATTCCATCTGTTTTTGTTTTTGTTTTTGGGGAGATGTACACAAAAACAGTCAGGAATATATAATAATTTAAACAACCAAAAGGCACATTCTGCAAGCCTGCTTCCTGGCTGCCAACACCCAGTCCCTCTCTTTCCATGAGTCTAGAGTCCTCACCTGCTCCCTCTCTCCATGTCCTCATCTCTGCCTCCATCTCTGGTGTCACTGCTTCTCTGGTTAGGGTCCCGCATTCCACTTGCGCTCTTCTCCCTTGATGGTCCTAGGGTCCTCTGCTTCTGGACTGCAAGATTCACTACTCCCCCATTTTGTTACAAAACTTCTACCTTTACAATTGTGACAGTCACAATTAATCATGATAACAATTACTCACTATTGAATCATAGAAATCTTATCCCCATCTCTTTTAACCAGACCCATCTAGGCAAGATGAAAACTATTCAGTGGGGACTCTACCTTCCTATACACAGGTGTATTCTCTTTGTAATGCACTTATCTTTGTCTGATTTCTGAGGAGTGGTACAACAGGATGGAAACATCACCTTCAGAAATGTTCAAACGTAGATGGATTCCCACCACTTGGCTAACCGTTTGTTGTACTGTGGTGGCTTGCATGTTGTTGTGATGTTAGAAGCTACACCATGGGTGACTGAAATACCAGCAGGGTCACCCACGGTGAATAGGTTCCAGCTGAGCTTCCAGACTAAGCTGAACTAAGAAGGAAAGGGAAGCTACTTCTGAAAGTTTAGCCACTAAAAACCTTATGAATAACAGCGGAATATTGTCAGATATAGTGCTGGAAGATGAGCCCCTCAGGTTGGAAGGCACTAAAATACTATTGGGGAAGAGCTGCCTTCTCAAAGTAGAATTGACCATGAAGATGCGTATGGACTAAAACTTTGGGGACTTTCATTTGTTAATGGGAACAAATCAAAATGAGAAACAACTGCAAACATCCATTAATTACTGGAATATAAGAATATATGAAGTATAAATCTAGGAAAGTTGAAAGTTGTCAAAACGAAATGGAATGCACAAAGATGGATATTCTAGGCATTAGTGAGCTGAAATGGACTGGTATTGGCCATCTTGAATCAATCGTATTGTTTACTATGCCAGGAATGATAAATTCAAGAGGAATGGCATCACATTTATCATCAAAAAGGACACTTCAAGATCTACCGTGAAGTACAGTGTCATCTGTGATAGAATAATATCCATATGGCTGAAAGGAAGACCTATTATTACCAATATTATTCAAATTTATGCATTGCCACTAAATCAAGTGATGAAGAAATTGAAGAATTTTACCAACTTTTTCAGTCTAAAGTTGATCAAACATGTAATCAAGATGTATTGATAATTCCTGGTGATTGGAATACAGACATTGGAAACAAGGAGGAAGGATCAGTAGTTGGAAAATAAAGCCTTGATAGAAATGATGCTGGACATTGCATGATACAATTTTGCAAACTAATGACTTATTCATTGCAAATATGTTTTTAAAACAACATAAAAGGTCATTATGTATATGGACTTCACCAGATGGAATACACAGGAATCAAACTGACTTGACTCCATCTGTGGGAAAAGACAGTAGGAAAACTCAGTATCATTAGCCAAAACAAGGCCAGGTGATGACTATGGAACAGATGGACCTTCAATTGCTCATATGCAAGTAGTGGCTAAAGCTGACTACAATTAAACAAGTCCACGAGAACCAATATATTACCTTGAACATATCCCACGTGAATCTAGAGACCATCTCAAGAACAGACTTGATGCATTAGACACTAATGACCAGAAGAGTTGTGGAATGACATCAAGAATATCATACAGAAAGGAAGCCAAAGGTCATTTAAAATATAGAAAAAGAAAATAAAGACCAAAATGGATGTCAAAAGAGATGCTGAAACTTGCTCTTCAGTATAGAGATGCTAAAACAAATGGAAGAAATGAGGAAGTTTAAGAATTGAGCAGAAAATTTCAAAGGACAACTCCAGAAGACAAAATCAAGTATTATAATGAAATGTGCAGAGACCTAGAGTTAGAAAATGAAAAGGGAAGAACACACTCAGCATTTGTGAAGCTAAAACATGGAATAAAAATTCAAGCCTTAACTTGCTTTATTGAAGGATTCTATGGAGCAAATATTGAATGATGCAGAAAGCATCAAAAGAAGATGGAAAGTAAACACAGAATCACTGTACCAAAAAGAAATGGTCGATGTTCAGCCATTTCAAGAGATAATATATGATCAAGAACCCATGGTACTAAAGGAAAAAGTCCAAGCTGTTCTGAAAGTCTTGGCAAAAAACAAAGCTCCAGGAATTGACAGAATACAAATTGAAAGCTTTCAACAAACTGACAAACCATTGGAGATGCTCACTCATCTATGCCAGTAAATTTGAAAGACAGATACCTGGCCAATCTATAGAAAGAGATTCATATTTACATCCATTCCAAAGAGAGGTGTCCCAATGGAATGTGGTAATCATCCAACAATATCATTAATATCACAGGCAAATAACTTTTCTTTTTTTGCATGGGTCTGATCAATTTTAAAAGTTAATACAATTTTATTTTTAAATAATTGTTGTTGTTAGGTGCCATCAAGTCAGTACCGACTCATAGTGACCCTATGCACAATAGAACGAAACACTGCCCGATCCTGGACCAACCTCACAATTGGTGCCACACTTGAGCCCAAAAAAAGATGGAGGTCTTCCTCTTTTTTTCTGACCCTCCACCTTACCAAACATGATATCTTGCTCCAGCGGCTGGTCCTTCCTGATAATATGTCTGAAGTATGAGAGACGAAGTTTGGCCATCCTGGCCTCCAAGGAGCACTCTGGCTGCACTTCTTTCAACATAGATCTGTTGGTTCTTTTGGCAGCCCATGGCATTTTCAATATTCTCCTCCAACACCATAACTCAAATGCATCAATTCTTCTACAGTCTTCCTTTATCACTGTCCAGCTTTCGTATGTGTATGAGGTTATTGAAAATACCACGGCTTGGGTCAGGCGCATCTTACTCCTCAAGCTGACATCTTTTCTCTTCAACACTTTAAAAAAGGTCTTGTGTAGCAGGTTTGCCTAATGCAATACGTCATTTGATTTCTTGATGGCTGCTTCCATGAGTGTTGATACTTGATCCAAGAAGAATGAAGTCCTTTACAACTTCAATCTTTTCTCCGTTGATAAGAATGTTGTTTATTGGTCCAGTGGTGAGGATTTTTGTTTTCTTTACATTGAGATGCAATCCATACCAAAGGCTCTGCTCTTTGAACTTCATCAGTAAATATTTTTGTGGCTGAGTGGGCTAATGTGTTAGACTTCAAAGTCATTTGAACTGCAAGGTCGGTAGTTCAATTTCACTAGCTGCCCCTTGGAAACCCTATACAGGATCGCTATGGGTCAGAATAGACTCGACGAAACTTAACAACAAAAATAATTAGAACTCTGAATTAAATAGAAACAGCAAAACTTTGCCTCTAGGGAGGAAATTAGATGACTGTCTTTCGCTGTAAAGAAATCAAAATGGAGTTTCAGAGCTGAAATTATCTTCAAATCTTTATGTTCTCAGCCAGCACTTATAAAAATAGGTCTTAAATCTTCTAGAGCCATAACTGTGTACTGTTTTCATGTTATCTGGGAACAGTGATTAACACAATATCTCAAAAGGAGAGAGGTTGGGTTAAATTTCTGAGGAATTAGTTACGTATTAAAGAAATAGTTAATGAAGGGCCACTTTTACAAAAGTAAGTTGCGTGTTCAGATACGTAGTTTTGAAATATGATTCTTTCAGATATACCATGGATGCAGTTAGTTAAATAAGGGGAAACTTGTTGTTAGGTGCCATCCAGTCAGTTCTGACTCATTGTGACCCTGTATAAGGTTTCCAAAGCTATAAATATTTATGGGAGCAGAAAACCTCAACTTTCTCTTTTTCTTTTTTATTTATTTAAGGTTTTTATTGTGGATTGAGTGAAAGTTTACAAGGCATATCATCAATTTTACATTCAACAAATCATACACCTTGTTTCATTACAATGATTAT